CCTGTTCCTGATCTTAAAGGTTCTTTCCCGTTTTTATTTATTTCATTTTTTAAAACTCATGATTTTGGTTTACATTTGATTATGTATATGCAACGACCAATTTAGTCGTTTATATATATATATATAATGTATTTAGGTTGTGATCTATTCATACTTTTGTATTCACAATATATATCAATAGATAGTATATTGAAAAATATGCTATATAGAAAAGTATATTGAAAATTAATGTTTTTCTATTTATAATATAGTAGGTCCTAGTTAAAAACCAATTCCACCTTTACAAAGATTATGGTTTTAATGAGGAAAATTAGTCTTTTGTTTAATACAATATTATAAATGTATTAGCATTTATATTTTTGGAAGCTATTTCTTTCTGATTTAAAAAAAAAAGAAGAAAAGAATAGTTTTGAAAATCACGGTTTAGACAATTTTAGTTGCAAGTAATGTGGGTGAAGTTCAAAAGAAGATAGTGTTTTGAAAAGAGGAAAATGGCATGCACTCTGGTTGTAACTAAAGAACATTAATCAATTTAAAAGACCAATAACTTACCAATGTTGCTGAGGATGTTAAGTGTACTCTGTAGTGGGAAAATGGTGAAAGCACGTGAAAAAGCAAGTGGACTCATTATGGTTCTGAAAGATAGCTACAAAACCATGAAGTTTTTTAAAGCTGTAGAAAATTCATGTACTGAATTTTAAAAGAAAAAAAATTGTTAAAGTGAACAATCAACTTTAGGTGGATATATTTTCACTTCTCAATAAATAATATCAATACAATTTGCATAAACTTTTTTTATTTCTGTTTAAATTCTAACTTTGAATTTGGATTTTGTGAGTGAACGCCAACCAGATTTTACTAGCACTTTTCTGTTTCTTGAGTTCTCCATTAAATACAGGTGTCATTGTATGTACTAATAGCAATTTAATATCTTTTGATAGTTCTTTCTTGACACAGTATAACGTTGGGTAACTAACCCTTTGGTTGTACAGAAACTTAGTTATCCTTCTGGAGGATCCTTACCCAGTAGGATGCTTATAACTTATTAAATCTATGATGATGATTATTATGATTATCTATAATCGGATAATCATATGTAGATAATCTATTATTATGATTATCTATAATTGGAAGCTATAGCAATCAATAAAAATTCATAAATTGTGATATCTAATTCGTAAATGACCTCACCAGAAATTATTTTGTAAATTATATGAATTCAATATTTAATTCATAAATTGTGCGAATTCAAATTAGTATGTGTAATTTGTAAATTTCCTGAATGAATAAGAATCATGATGTGATATTTGTAAACCATTGAAATATAAATTGTAATGAATGGTAACCATTTTATCTCACAGATTATAAGAATCCACTTCGCATTAAAGTTACAAAAAAGTAAAATTTTCAAGCTCTGTAAAATTTATTATATATGTCGACCTCTGATATGTTGTAGTTTTTTTTTTTGTTCCTAGGAAATATAAAATAGTATCTGACCACCATTAGAGAGGATTATTGGCAAAATTATGATACAATTCCATTAGTTTAAATAGGGATTTTTTAGATACTTTTACCATAAGGGAAGATGTGGTAGGTGAGGGGAAAAAGCTTCATGCTAACGGCTTTTTCAACACAATGACATCAGCATGTCAAAATTGTCCTCCATAGATCAATTTTCCTTTTTATGGAGTATTAATTGTATTGAAAGGTTTCTATTCCATCTTGCTTTATGGTAGTTTTTCCGTTTTTTAATAAATTTTCTATAAATAATAACTTCTATTTTTTTCACTGTTCTTTATTTTTAATTATTTTTTATACTTTTCAAAAAAATATTAGTAAAGTACACTAAATTGTATAAGAAGTTTGTTTTTCTGATATACTTTTAGTCTCAGTTGTATTTATCTGTGAAGGTTTTATTGTATTTGTTATTTATAAACATCGACAGGTGATTCGCATAATTTTATTTATATATTAATACATAGTTGTCCTTCTTCATTTGGATCGAGATGTTAGTTACATAACTATTTTATAGGCACAGCATTGTATGAATATCTTTTATCGTTTGCCCTGACCGAAGATCAATTAAGAGAAAATGGGTTCCCTATGGCACATCCTACAGAAACTGGAAGAGCTGTAATTGATGGCATTTATGCAAATAAATCTCGATATTGCAATGACCGTAAGTATAAGTTGCTGTTATTGTTGTATTTCATTTTTAAAATAATTTTATGCTTATTATTTTTTTCGAACTTTTCCTCTCTTCCTTCAATGTTGGCTTAAACTATTTTTAATGGATATTGTTATTCTCATTTTTATTATTTTACCTGTGCAAATGCATGAATATTTCAACAAAAATACTGAAATATTTTAATACTAAATCAGAATAAAGTAGAATTTTCTGTGTTTGATTAAAATTATTTAATAATTTATTTAATGCTAAAAAAATTTGACAATATATAATTTTATCAGGTTAAGTGTCCTTAGTGAAGCTTTAATTTTCTCTTGTTATTCAATAATCTAGTGTTGTCTAGAAATTTTAATTTTCTTTGACTTTTCTTCCCAAAAAAGTTTTATCTGTTAAATATTAAATATAAATAAATAATACATGGCATCTCAGAATGTTGTTGAGTAATTATGTAACAAATAAAGCAAAATCATCTTATTCCTAGCATTTGAGTGTTACATATATTTTTACTTGATTTGAGACAAACCTTCTCCAATTTTTACAATATTTTTTAAGTAAAAAATATTAGAAACAAGACTAAATATTACACATTTATTTTTAAAAACTAGTAAAGAGCAACATACATTTTAAAGAATTTGAATTTTCGAAAATCAATTTACTATTGAAAAAACCCTAATATTCATGGAAAAAATGTGATTTGTAAGTTTAACAATCTAGTGCATTTTATGTTTCAATTAAAAGAAAAAAAACTTATAATATCCTATAAAATTTAATAGATAAAAGGTAATTATGATTTGCGACAACAGAAATTAGATTTGTAGCATAAAAAGTATGATGCTGGGGAGAGATCATTAAGGTTTTTCTAAAATTTGAAATAATATATATCATGTCAAATAAGTATAAAAACTTTTAATTGTTTATTTGGCTTAAAATAGTAATATAAAATGTATTGTATGTACAAAACTAAAAAACACTAAAAAATGTCCATATTTTTTTCAATAAATTTTTGCAATTAAATAATGTTATAAATTTTAGTTTACTTAAAAAACCTTTCCATTAAAAAAAAGAAGAAAAAAAACCATTAAGGTAACAAATATTATTGCCCTCTGTGTGATTCCATTGCTCATTTAAACGGTGTTTTGAATATGAGTAATTAGAGCAAATAATTATAATTTTTTTTAATTAATCATTATAATTGTAATTTTTAGAAACTAAATTCATAATTTTTTTTATTTTGAATATTTTTTCTTATCTTTACTTTTTTATCTCTTCTTAGAGTTTAAAAGAACTTGCATTAGATGCCAAAAAGTTTATTACGTTAATGTTGATGGTGATTATGTACGAGATGAAGAATGTGATTTCCATTGGGGTCGTCTGTGGAAGAGAAGAAGTATGACTTTACATACCAATTTTATAATAGCTTATTAGATATTTATGGTGACTGATTTATCTATTTTTTAAATATATTGGTAATTTTTTTTGCTAAGATATATATATATAATATCTGTTAGGATATATATATATATAGATTGATAGATGGATATATATATATAATATACCAGACAAAAAGTTTGGCAATAACATAAAAAAATTAACTTTTACATCTATTACAACTTTTTACATCTATTCAATTATCTGTTATGTAATGCAAATTTAAGTTAGTTTCAGACAACAATTCTTCAAGGTAAATTAGCTCTGATTTTTACATTTAGCAAAATTTATTTTAATTTCTTGATGAAAATAAATTTCTTAAAATTTTTTTTATTTCTATTCATATTTTTCTTTTGTTATGCAAGTTTGAATAGGTTTATTTCAGAAAGACTTTTATTGATGCAGTTTTGCTCTGATTTTTGAAATTGTTACAATACACTCAGGTTAAATTTTTTGTAAAAAAATGTACGTCTATTCAAATTTATCACATATAATGCAGATTTGCTTTAGCTTCTGAAAATTAATTTTCATTAACTAATCCAAATCAGGAAATGAAGCAGTTTTGCTCCATTACCTAACTTGAAATTGTTTAAAAGTGCAAAAATTTTATTTCTTAAGAAATTAAAATTAGATTCTGTATATGTTGCATAATTTAGATTACTTTATCATAGATAATTTATATCAAACTTCATTAAAAATTAATTAATTCAATTTTATTTGAGTAAAAATATCTAAAAAAAGGTACTTATAAGAATTTTATTTAATTGAATGCAGTGCTCCATTCCACAAGAACTGTGTGCAGTTTTATTGTGCCAAATTTGGGGTAAAAAATATTTCAATCATGCACATTTCAAAGTAATAAAACCAATTATATTGACTGACATGCCCAGGCATGTAAAAGCTTCAATCAGGCAAGCATTTTTTACACTTTTAAGTCTGGCGAGGCATATAGGTCACTAATTTCAAATACCAGTTATGTTTCTCAAATTTTGTTGAAAATCGACAAGATGCCTGATGGGTTAAATAAGCAGACCCAAAGGAAGAATAAAAATGAAAATGATTATGTTTGATTAGACCTAAATTATATTGAATTTAATTATATAAATAAGTATGTATTAAACAAAGTTAACTTATGCTTCTTTTTTCTCTAATCATACCTAGTTTATTAAAAGAAAAAAAGTTTACTCCAAGTGCTGTGTATAAAAACATTATTAATATAAAAGTTAATAATATTATTATAAGTAACATAATGAAGGGCATGCACTTAGCTGATAATATTTAATAATTTTGATAATAATGCATCTTAGTTAAAAAAAAAAAAATAATGGTATGGAGAATCTCTCTACCCATAAACTTGACCAAAGCTGCTTCTTTGGATAGAGAATGCTATTACTTCATTTTATAAAAGAAGGTGCCATGTTGAATCGGTTATGCAAATAAGTTTGTCTTGAATATAAGCTTTTGATAAAGATAAATAATAACAATTAATGCAACTTTAACTATGTATGTAACTATCAGCATCAGTAGCATATTTTAGCGAGACATAATGATGCTGTACAAAAAGTTTTAAGGATTACTGCCTCCGGATTAGTATATTATATTTCATACTTTCATCAAGTAATCTCTCATAACAAGTAAAATATGTTTACATGCTTTTCGTTACATATAGTAAAACCTCCCAACGTATGACGCAGTGAATCCTGTTCATAGATGTTAAGAGATCAGTGTTTTCACTACAGCGCAAGAATCTCGCATATTTTTTTTCTTTTCTCGCATTAAGAAATGATTACCATGAGAAATTCGCGCATTCTATAAATCAATTTCAAAATTCGCGAATTTCTCACATTTTGGAAAAAGCTTCGAATTACGCCATTTATAATAAAATCCATTTCACTTCCCTTCCTGGATCTTTCATTATCTTCAACATCTGCCCCGTTATCTAGCTTCCCTATTTACCAGTATTGTTCAGAACCTTTTCAAACAACAGAATACAACTACGGAACCCCTTTCAGAACACATTTCTCTGCAACCACGTGTTTACGGTAGGTAAGGTTTCTTCATGTAAGACATTAAAATTTTTTATGTACTAATGTAAGATGGACAAATACCTTGTAAAAG